GAACGGCCGGAATAAATAGCAGCCGAGAGTGTCTGCGGATCGAGGACAACTTGAGTAGTCTCTTACGTACTGTAAGTATGTGGCCTCTCTCTTCACTTCCGTAATCTTCTCCTTGAAATGTCGTCGTGGTGTCCCCATGTCCTTTAGCCCACTTTTACATAGCGCGTGTAACACACTCTGGGGGATATATTTTACTTCCTCTGTGTGTTGTTACATCGTATTTCACCTTGCTCTATCACCACACCATGTAGTACAGCCGAGCTTGGCCATTATCAACCGCCATTTCACCTTGCTCTATGAAATTCTCTTTACCTCTTTGCATATCTTCTAAAAACATCTTCCTTAGTATCATTCAGCGCCAGCGCTACACATCTCCAAGACATGTAGCTTCATCTTTTGTGCCTTTCTAAGAATCCAGGTTTCACGGAGGCATTAATACTCATGAACAAAACTAAAAGAGGTGTGGAAAGTCTTTGATTTCGCCAGTCGTCTTTTGTTTACATTTTGTTATCTCGTGTGTCTTCAATAAAGATCACTGTGTATTAAATATCTTTCAGAGTTATTGTTTGAATCCCGATATAGATGCTAAAAGGTACAACTTCGTTAAATTTTGTCCATGAGTGTATCTACATACACTCCAAATAGCAAACACAGTGGTAGTATACATTGAAACAATCTCGTAGTGTGTTGTTGGCTGAATAATGCTACTCAACCGTATGTTTGTAGAGCGTCTCGATGTGTATTTGGAGATAGAGAACGTATGTGTAGAAATTTCTTAAATAAGTACTTATTTACATATGTTGGACGACTGTCGAAAGGTAGATTATATTTGTCCGAAAGTTCGTCAAGTGAGCTTGTACGAGAATAGAATTTACTGCTGAGGTATATGGTGAACAAGTAAAAAATATATAAATCTGGGGCAAATAAAAAAAATATATATATTTTTTTAAATTGTAGCTCTATAAGTAACCTAATATAAATAAATAAAATAATAAATAAATAAACGTATCCTCAGATTTATATTTGATTAAACAACAACAAAAGCCTTTATTGAGGACCTCTCGTCCTATAAAGGATTCGCCAGTTTACAGAGTAATTGAAGAGAAGAGAACTAAGAATACAGAGATATATGTAGTAGGTATAGTATAGTATTTTCTACACTGTGACTATATACAACAGCAGCAACAAGCCTTTTACTGGGATCAAAGTCCCATACATATTTGATTAATCTATAAGTAACCTAACCCGTTTTTAACTCTATATAAGCCACAACAACAAAAAGAAAATTTATAGATAAAAATAACTATCTAAAAAAAAGATATAAATCTAGTTAGTACTATAAGATATGTTTCTAAAGAGGAATAAACGGATAATTGAATCGCAAGCAGTCGTGGCCGAGTGGTTAAGGCGTTGGACTCGAAATCCAATGGGGTCTCCCCGCACAGGTTCGAATCCTGTCGGCTGCGTTTTTTTTTTTTTTACTTTATAAAATGTTTGCATTTTTAGTCATTTTAAAAATTGTACTTGAAACTAAATCATTATTTTAATTCACTTTATTTAGTTTTAAATTTTTTGTCGCGGTGAAAAATTCTTTAAAACGAAATATTAGAGGTTCTTTAATATTCCTTTAAATAAATATATTTTTTTAAAAGAGGAGAAACACAACTAAACCAATCTAAAACCATAAAATTCTCAGTCTATTTAATTTAGCCTTCACTTTGTTGTGTGTGTATGTCCTCTGACTTTCGAATTTCAAGAAAACCTTCATAATTAAAACAGTAAGTAGAAGGATGAACTTGTGTGTTGCTATACACACATTATTCCTATACAAATATTCTTGCAATTAATAATAATATGGCATCTGGCCGGTAAGCGGAACATTGTGGGTTCGATTCCCATCCCTGGACACTTTTATTTTTCCGTTCATCATTACTCTTCATAATTCACCCCTTCATACCTCATCCAAAAAGGTTAGAAATAGTCAATATTTCACCTTGAAATAAAATTTTGATTTTTCATTGAAAAGAAACTCATGCGGTGTAACTTCAAATGTCGTTTTACAAATATTCTTACACTATTACTGTTTATCTAGCATGAGAAAACACAGATCAATTAGTAAATTTCAAAACTTGGGGTACTCGCACAGTCTTCAGTGAGATGCAACAGACATCTACAAGAAGCACAGATAAACCTTTGTAACAACTTGAATTCCACAAAGAAAATTAGGAGAATCATTCATTTTTGATCAAGATATTTCCTATCATGTCATAGTGAGTGACAACTCCTTTAAATACACCGCGACGTGTTTTTAAACGGAGAAAGTAATTAACAGAGAGAGTGTCCCGTTTGAACTGGGCTGGCTGGATTCGTGTGCATAACTAGGTCGAATATGGAAATTGTTTTTGAATATAAATGAGATGGAACAAGTCTAAACAACTCAGACGTAAATCTAGCTAAGAGATTTATGATTACTACTACTATTAGCACTGACTATTGCATGACTATCATTACATTAATATGGTGGCGAAGAAATAATTTATATATTATTATTTAATTATAATTTAATTTATCAAAAATGAAAATACTCAACAGAACATTAATCTGTATTTATGAAATCATCATATATGTTCCATAGCAGGAAGGGGTCACCACTGATGAGCCAAAGCCCTCCATATATATGTTTACATCAGAGTAAGGACATTTTTTTAAAAAATAAATTCGTGCGTAATGGTCTCAGTTCTTATACATTTTATTTAATTTTATTATTACAGAAGCACGAAGTCTATTAGACTATTGTGCTATATTAGAATTATTTACATATATATCTTTAATTATTTACACGATGAATTAGTAGTGATTTATAAATCTGTGTACAAATAGCTCTAAACTTGCCAAAGTGTCCATAAGATTGAGTATATACAGAAATATGATTTGGCATTATGTCAAAGTAAGCAAGTACAATTTGGTTAGTCAAAGGGCAAGCCAACAAAAGATGCTCTGGTGTTTCAACATCTAGACAGCATTCACATGTTGGATCATTTATAACTCTCAAGTCAAAGAGAAAACTTAAAAAGGGTCCTTTGCCTGTGAAAATGACGCGTTATAACCTTATAATTAAATAATTTCTCTCAGAGACTAGTAGCATTGCCTCTTGGGTTGTAGACCCTATGGAGAATGACCTCCATTCTGTTCATCCATTGTTGTTCAGCCATTGGTCTTTGTTTAATTTGATATCAATTCTTATCATGCAAATAATTTGGATTCTCCTCCGTCCTCAACTTCTTCCAGGAACCTAGGTTTCTGCGATCATCTAGAGTGACAGTTTGGCATCTTTTCATCTCACGTCAACTAACAATACAAACTGAACATGCCTCTCAAAGCATCAACGTTCTAAAGAGAAAAATGCACAAACCAACATTATATACCTATTTACATACCACCGAGTACTTTAGAAAGGGGGAAAAAATGCAGCGGTATTTTAAAAGGGAAAAATCCTAAAATCTCTCCACATTTATCCTTTAGAGTTTTTTTTTTATTTCAAAAACCAATCCAATTGTGTGAATGGTAGAAAATTTGAATGCCAATTGGTATGCGGGTCTATTGATAAAAAGTGTTGACGTAAAAGTATTGAGGAAGGATATCCTGCACGGCAACTTTCCTCTTTAGCACACACCTCTTCCACGGAAAAACTTGCAGTATGCAAATCACCATAATTTTCAAACCTTCCTCTTTACATATTAAAACATTATCCTAATCGACGGAACAAATTGAGGATACCACCCTAAGCCTAAAAATGCCAAATTTCTCAATAAGTCCCCATTCAACTTTTTTTTTTAAATAAAAATAACCATTTAAGGATAAAAAGGGAGCATGGCGGATGTCTGTAGGATCGCTGACCTTTGCATATGCATGAAGGGGGAAAAATGGAGTGGTCCCGCGCATGCGTTTGTCATGGTTGGCCGTTGACGATGACGTCAGATGGCGCTGGGTAGCTTAAATTAATCAATGCGCAAACACCGATACTATGCATACCACTATATCTTAGGTGTTATGAATGAACCCTCCTTTAGAAGGGCATCAAGGTCGAAAGCTCGATAATATATACGAAATATTTCATTACTTTGTGCAGCACAAAGTTTCTTTATTCCATTTATAAAAATAAAGGTGACACGCTTTCGAGTATTGAGAACTCCACTACGGGCCTGTTTAAATGGAAAAAATGAGTAAATATATATAAATTGTGGGGTGGAGAAAGAGGAGTTCAATCTTTCTATTTATGTACTATTGAATATTTAGCTGATATAAAATATACCAAATATAGCCTTTCTGTTTTTGATGCTATGTTTTGGTAGAGTGACATTCTACTCCTTGTATTACATTCTACTTCTTAAATAGCCCAGCAATAATTCGACGCCCTTCTCTCGAACGAATTCCCTGGTTATCGATACCGGCTTCATCGGTCTAAAAAATGGCAAATTCCTATATAAGCCAAAATCTCTTTCCCTAAGGAATTCTCAGAGAAATTGAGCAGCAAACCGGATTCCACCTTCTAAACTCAAAATTAACAACATTGTGCCTTATAGGTTGCAAATGCACACCCTCTACAAAACACTGGTTGGGAATTAATAAAAAACAAAAGC